GATGATATATGGGAATATAACAGTAAATACTAAATATTAAACATTATTGTGCAGCACATAAGATCGACACACAGTGTGCTTTGACACAAAATGATATAAATCCTGTTAAAAAACACCATCCGTCCATTCTCCTCCACTCATCCTTGTCAGGGTCGTGGGCTGGATCCCAGGGTACACCTGGACGGGTCACCAGTCTGATGCACAGACACGCATTCACACCTACGGGCAGTTTCGAGCTGCCAATTAGCCTAACCCAGCTAACTGCACAGTAGTCATGTTTATGACCATATCTGCAAAGAGATTCGCTCTGTTATTGAATAACAGCTGAACAATCCCATCCAGGTCGATTAGGAGTGCAAAGCCTTTTACACTCTTAATCTGCACTTCTGCTACATCCCACCATACACAGCTATAGATGTTCTCTGGCATTGCTGTTGTATTCCAGTGTATTTATATGCACTGTGTGACAGTGTGTCTGAATAGGCTTGCAAAGTCTATTAGCTATTTGACAGGATTGATTTGACTCCAAGTGATCTTTAATAGCATGGCTGCTTTAATCTGGTTATGATGTTTGATAATCCAATCCCACTCAGAGGATTTCCTGTAAAATATGTCTTTTACTCTCAACACAGGCATCGCGAAAGTGTGTTTGTGAGCCTGGTCCTGCTGCCAGTGGGTTCGAGGAATCATCCTTTAGTGCGTGACATTATATCCTGTTGTTCTGCGTTTGATAAAGGAGATAGAGAAGCGTCTGTGGCGTCTGTGGCATTATCTGCTGTGTCTTGTGACCGTTTCATTCATCTGATCTGCCCTCACGCTGACACACAGCCACCGCTCGCTTTTTCAGTCAGGCGTCAAGAAATATTTGCGACGGGTGTCACAAGAAGGTGTGTCGCAAATAGTTTCACACATCTGATCGCACGTCTTTTGTCGTCCAGCCTTTGCTTTTCAACACGTACCCGGAGGTGCTTCATGAAGCGATTCACGTAGATGCGGTTTGACCATTATTTATTTACCCTGTTTGTCTTTGCTATTTAACATGACCACTTTCTGCCATTCACCCATAACCTGTATTTACATTATTTAAATACATGTTACAAAACAAATCCCACACATTTGGCCGTAATATCGCGTTTTAAGAAAAGAAAAACAGAAGGTACCCGACTATTTTGTTAACATGTAGATTTGATTAAATTCCACTTCACAGATTATGAAGAACAAATCTTTAGTAATGTAATTATTAATGGTTAAAGCTGTTTCACAAAGATTAATTGTACATTTATAATGAATTAAACAATATAATGAAATCCAAATATTACGCTGAAATGTTGAAATGCAAATTAAGTTTGACATACGTCTGTGTTTATAATACCCACCCTAATTTATCGTCTGTCTTCACTGCTTGGAATTTTGGTATTTATTTAATTATTTAATAATTAAATAAATGATAAACCTTGTGATTTATAATACTGAAACAAATTACAGAGGTCTTTCTTATTGAGTCTTTGTGGCTCCTGAAGCACATGTGCTCATTCACGCAGGCTCTATGATGAACTGTTGAGGTAAATGTTCATTTACATCCTCTGATGTGCTTATTTGTTTACATATTTGCAGTTTTTGTGGCGATAAAACAAAAGCATTGGATAACCTTTCAGTTTCATTGGTGAGGCAGCTCTGCTGTGATCTTCAGAGCGTTACGTGTCTTTCACTTCGACAGAGGGACGTCACCAGAACCGTTCGATGCAAAAATTCTGAAGATGCAGCGTATGCACCAAGGACTTTTATTAAGGGATGATATTGATTCGTAAAAGGGAATATGCAGGCAGTGTGTAGGGTGATTTTGAATGTGGGGAATGTGAAATTCTACCTGTACTGACAACGACATTTCTGATATGGTGATGGTTCAGCTATCGCCAGCCAGTGTCCTCTGTGTTCTCTCACTGCTTCAGAGCAGAGAGAGGCAGGACAGAGCCAGGCCGAGGGATGGAGGTGATGCTTATCAGCGTCTGTGTGTGTGGGTTTGGGGTTGTGTCCTGCCACTGCCATGGCGCCGCCATTATCACAGACGCACATCACTTTGGTCTCACCCTCTGCAAAACTTGAATGTGTGTGGTTGAAGGTGCAGACAGTTTATCTAAGTGACTTCAGATCATTTTAAAAGTGAGTATTTGTAACCATGGTTACAAGAATACAGAGAAAGCTGATGAAAACTGCTACAATTCAGTTTAAACTCGAACATTAGCAACATTTATCGACTTTAAGATGAAGACAAATAATGTCCCAGTGTGCAGTTTGTTAAGACCAGTCATGTCATCAAC